CTAGCATTACAGTTTCATCAGCTCTTAGTGCGTTTTTATCATCCTCCACTTACAAAATATTTTATATACCTTCCTTGGATTTTAAAGGAAGTAAACCCGATGATGCTTCTCGAGCGGCATTTTAAATGTCTTCAGAACAAGTTTCTAAATTGTTTTCAATAGCAATACTCATATTTATAATTAATATACAGGGTGTTAGTAAATAAGTGCGGCAAATTTCAGGGGGTGATTCTACACGAGAAAATAATGGCAGTGTGCTTATAAACGTATGTCCGCAAATGATTCGTTTTCCGAGATACGGGGTGTCATAGTTTTTCTTAAAAACTGACGATTTAATTTGTTGCTCTGAAACCGGTCGAGATGTGCAAATGTTTGGTGAGTTTTAAGAGGTAGTTATTGCGCATTTTTTGACATGCAATTAATAATTTTATGCTCATCATTGGCGCACGTACGGGTAATAATCTCAATTTTTTTAAAGAAAAAAATAGTACGCCACTGAGATATTACAAATTCGTCGTTCAATTTGTGACAAAAAATCTCTCTTGCCTTTTCTTCGTATGGGGCGCCGTTTTGATGCAAAAAAATAAAACATCTTAACGTGTATTTTTTATTTTTTTCATTCATTATCAAGAACTATCTAATACAATAACATTAAACCAGAACAATAACAGAAAATAACACTAATAAAATTTTAAAAAGGCGCAAAGCTACAACAAATGTTCAAAATGACCTCCCTCAGACATGACAAAAGATTCAACTTTTCGCCTCATTTTGCGTGTCAAAAAATACGCAATAACTACCTCTTAAAACCCACCAAATTTCATTTGCATATCTCAACCGGTTTCAGAGTAATAAATTAAATCGTCAGTTTTTAAGAAAAACTTTGACACCTCGTATCTCGGAAAACGAATCATTTGCGGACATACGTTTATAAGCAAACTGCCATTATTTTCTCATGTAGNAAACCCACCAAATTTCATTTGCACATCTCGACCGGTTTCAGAGCAATAAATTAAATCGTCAGTTTTTAAGAAAAACTTTGACACCTCGTATCTCGGAAAACGAATCATTTGCGGACATACGTTTATAAGCAAACTGCCATTATTTTCTCGTATTTTCTTCTGAAATTTGTCGCACTTATTTACTAACACCCTGTATAACTTAGAATAAGTTCGAGTCACAAAAATGAAACTTAACTGTTTATATAGTGTGGCCAAATGAAGACGAAACATAGCCATTTTCAGGAACTTCTTCAAGATTGTAGAAAAACGCTCAGATTTTATATTAAAGGGGGACATTCTTTGCTGGTATTTTTGACTCCGCCACTTTCACCCCCAAGCAAGGGTAAACATCACCGCAAAATATTTAAATGGCATTGGGGGTTGAGTAATATTTCTATTTTATTATTCTGCCCAATACTTATTAAGAATTTTGATTTTAAATTTGAAACTTATGTACAAACAATTAGTAACGGTAAAAATGTCAGTCATTCGAGTTAGAACGCCCATGGTATAAGTTTAGTATTTCTTGCGTTACATTGTTTTTTGGCAATTTGTTATCACTTTCGTAAAAAAAACACAATTGTAAAAAAAACAGAAATAAATGCTATACACACACAATGAACGTAAAATTGGCTCTGTTTCGTTTTCATTTGGCCACCCTGTATATAAATAAACAAAGACGTGTCAGGTTACTTACTAGGTTACGGAAATTCTACACAAGAACCTACTATGATTTTTTTTTTAATTTCTAACTGTAATGCTTTTATATCCATCACAATATGCTACTAACACAAAATACGAAAAAATAGTATAAACAAATCTCGTAAGAAAAGCAGTTTTACTAAACTCATATAGCTTTTCTAAACCTGTTGTTTAATATACTGTTTTTATATTTGATTGTGGAATACGGAAAATGGGGTCTGTCAATTCCTATCTTCTACCGAGACCACTCAGTCCAAAAATCACAGAAAATCCACAACATTTTATTAAATTACAATTAATATCCACTAATTCAACAATAAGTTAATTTAGACTTTTCAGAATCTTGAAAGATGAAATGTTAATTCGAATCATAAAAGGTTAACGCCCTGTGTGATGAGTACATGCCATAATGATCGCGCTTATAATCATTATAACATAAATAATTATTTCTTCAATCAAGAAATACAATTATAATGTAGCAAAGAAAAAGCTTTAATACATCTTTGCACGCAACAAAACAAGCGATCTACTAAAATACAGGAGTAACTCACCCCAACGCTTCCCCGTTTTTTACCACAGTTTCGAGGCACTCGGTACTCAAACTCTACAAGCGCCGAACCGTAATTTCCATTCCAACTGCGTTCTGATGCAACATTAGCAAAACTTTCAGATACTAATCAGCTTAAAATCGACATTTCGATATAGAAGAGCGGAAAGAGTAGGCTTGGATTACAGCTTAATTTGTATGGTATCGAAGTATTGAGGTTAAAGCAGAGCACCACACTAATAACCTGTCTACGGGGATGTATAATGTTCCCCTATATTATGTAACAGTTAGGGCGATGTACAAGCGATGAAAGTAAACGAAGGATAATCTGAGTAAGCCCTGGACGGATCATTGGCGGGTCTAAGGAGAATTCCAATATTTCGCGATTATCACTGCTAATGAGTTTTCAGAGGATAACCAAGGAACATAATGATTATATTGGATTATATCAGTGACAGCGTAATAATTTTCAACACTTTTCCGTTTCATTAGCATTTTGTAATCACACGCCACATATGTGATTAAAGCCGGTTTCAGATGAAAAGGTAACTGGCCAAACATTCGCCAAACTCAAAAGTGTCAAGTATTTCTTTTACGAATATCTATATGGACCTACAAGTTCTAGTTTATGCGAATAACCACTACTGATATATAGCTGCTGCGGCAGATGATATCATGTACCCACACTTTGTTGATGTGCCATTTATACAGCTTTGGTAAATGAAGATTTGCTTTCGAATGTATTCTTGTGCATCATCCACACGATACGACATTTATTTACGTTTGACAAAGATGTGTACTCTGATAAATCTACATGTGTGCTGGCTGGTATTCTTCCGTTTTATGTATCATACTGCATTTATTTATAACTGGAGCGGGCTTATAGGCAATAGGGTTGTTGACTATAAAAACAAACCATATACAAATTGTTGTTGATACAAAGATTTTATATAAAAGAACCTGCCTGAATTGTAAAATTTTAAATATATGACAAATTAGTGGTAAAAATTATTTATGAATTTTTGCGTTACTTAAAAACTAGTCTGACGTCATAAGGGGCAATTGAACAAGAAGCTAGTAGCGATCCTATTGCATAATTTTGAAGAAGAAGAAAATATGTCAAAATTGTCCGCCAAACCCTGTTGCGCTGTTTCCTGTTTTTTAAACAAAAGTGACACTAGTGACAGCAGTCTATCAATTAAGAGTATTTGTGATAGTTATTATTAATTTTCTGATTATAATGGATACAACAGAATTTAGGTCGTGTTTTGTTCCATATTCCACATTCCACATTCCACATAGCCAATCGCATTATCTCCATAAGACTCCCGTCCCGTCATTTATAATATAAAATACCTATTTATATTATTTTTTATTTATTTTATTTATATTATAAATCAACAAAATAAAATCATTCATTAAATATGTTGATCCTTACTTGACTACCTACTTTTATACCTCTAATTTCTCCAATATTAAAATGGTTGTCTCTTTTTAAAAATTCAATTCATGATCATAAAAATATCAATTTTCGGTAAAATTTGCGAAGTAGCTTTCACAAATCCCGTTTCACACATTCTGCTTTAATTCTAAGGGAAGATATTAAATGATTATTACTAAATAATAATTTTACTTAATAAAGGAATTCGAAGATTAAGATTATTTTATGCGACAGTGTCACTGTCCTCCAATTTTTTTCCTTTACGCAACCGTTTACACATAATTTCACTACAAGGTGGTCCTTATGACGTCACAGCCGTTTTGAAATATTATAAAAAAAATCAGTTTTAAATAATTATTTTAAAACTGTTCTGACGCATTTTCTCAATCTCTAATTGTGCATACACACTAGTTAATACGTGTAGAATTATATTGTCTACTTTTTGAAATTTGGTTAACAACGATTATATCCAAAAACAGGGTTAAAAGGAACTATGACATTCAAGCAATTTTATTGCATGAATCGTTGAAAGGGTCATTTTAGATGAAGAAACCGTGTAGTGCTATTAAATTAGAGGGTGGAAATTGGAGATAGGGGTGAAAATGCACCCCTTCCAGTTTTTTAATTGTAGCTCGAAAACGAAGCAAAATTTCGTTATAGTTCATAGGAAAAATTATTTAGAGAATTGAATTTCCCATCGAAAAGGCTTATTTAAAAAATTTTTAAAAGGAAAATTTTATGCAAAAAAATCGTTAGGTAATCAACAATTTGAAAAAAAAATCGATTTTTTATTTTTTTTTTCCTTTTTTGCCTCTAGTTTTTTTTGAGTAAAGATAGGTACAGGCATTGCTTCATAGAAAAAAAAGTANTCACATCTTGTACTTCAGTTGTCTAATTTTGGCTAACAAATTTCCATCAGGTTCGCAGGAAAATGTATGCGGCACGATATCCCGTTTCATACGAGCTTTGACATTGCTCCATTTATACTCCAAAAAAGTTATTATAGTACCCAGTCTTTGAAAGGAACATCCTGCAGAAATAATGTTCCCTTTGCCATACAATGTTAGTTTGGGGTATTAAGAGAAACAAGTTTGTCCAAAAAAGAATAAGTATTAAGTTAAATACATTACGATACATATTACAAAGCTTTAAATAATAAAAATACCATATATACATGTTTTTTGATATTGTTAGACTTAAGCAGTCTTAATATTTACCGTACGGTGCAGAGTTTAGGTACAAATAACAAATAACTATATGCCGATATACTATTTTATCACCTTATTTATATCCTACACATGGTAAATGTCAAGATATATCTTGCATGATGTAATAAATATCTGCATAAAACCACTGTAAAATTGTACATTGTACATTTCATTAACATTACATGTGTAAATAAATTTTAAGAATAATTTATTAGCATTACGTTTTTTCCTTAATATCTATAGTTACTATTTTTTCATATTTAAATATCTTGTATTTCAACATTAATTGCATCTTTGTTAAGCGACAAATAAAAAATAATTATCACAGGAGAGATAATTTGCTATAACAGCTTTGATACAACAGTCTAAAACTTTAACTGCAAAATAGAAATAAAAGTGCCGCCACATTTAATTCCTATTTTCCGTGGACCTCCTCTTTAAGCACAACAACTGTATTCTCATTTTGGCTTTCGACTGCCTTAAGATGTCCTGAATAACAGTCGTCTCCATTGTTTCTAACTCTGGTATGACATCTAGAGCTTCCTGAAAATATCCCTTGGCACTTCCTGACAAATATCCTTCGAAAAACTCCTGTAGGACGCATATATCGGCTCTTGCTTGTTGCGCACCTGCCCTACTAAATTTCTGAACGCACGACATGAGCCTGTATAATTCTTCGGCAATAGTTTCAACGATTTTGGGTAGAACGCTATCTAATAACTTTGCGGAAATATTGTTAACTTCCGAGTGGACGCTGATAAGGTTGTTTATGCATTCTTTTGCATAAGGACGGATGTCCGTTGCCGGTACGTTTGTATCCCAGTCGAAACGTCCTAAGTACATCGACGGTTCTATCGTGCCAACTAAAGGATCGCTCTTTTGTTCTAGGTATTTGTCGAGGATCGATTTTTCCAAGTTTTCCAACTTAATTTTGGCATTTCTTATAGGGACGTCCACGTGAGGAAAACCGCCTTCCTTGAATTTAGTGGAAACGGTGTCTAATATTGTATTCTTAGTAAACAGACAGTTGGATAAAGTTATCAACAAACGGTGCTCCCAAGTTGGTACGTTTGTTTTAATGCTGTTCACTTTATGACTACTGACAGGGGTTCCTATCAACTGAGAGACTACAGGCGAGCTATCGTCACCGTCTTCATAATCCTCACTCGAAGATAAGTTATTCAACACGTTATGAAAAGCTGTTAAAATACAATCCAGCTGTTTTTCAAGCTCTCTCTGAGCAGTCGGATTATCTAATAGGAAAGTCTCTCGTTGTTCAGCCGATAGCGCTGATTCTTTCACAATTTGGATCACGTCCTCGATCAGCTGCAAGAACTTCAACGGTAGTTCTGTGATTCCGCTGTGTTTGCCCCCAAAGTTTATCTTCCACGTTTCAGATAACTGTTTTATCTGTTCCATAGCTTGTTGAAACAGAATACTCATGCAATGGATTCTTAAATCTAACAATAACAAACTTACTATATCTAATGCCTCGTTGGGCAAATCTAACTTTATTAATGTAGCGTAAGTGGAACGTACTGACCTTAACAGTTCCGGTAAATACAGAGCGATTTGGTCTCTTTCGGGCGCGCTCAGTGAACCGAATTGCGGCCTTTCCGCTTTGTCTAATGTGCTGGGGATGATGCTAGCTCTTACGTATTTGCAGAACATTTCTATGACCGACATGACCATGTGTTTATATTCGACCTGAAATGTAACAGTGTCAATTAATAATTATTCTTTTAGATCAACAAAGGAAACATTTTGAAATTTATTAATTACTGGACGTGATTTTATTGTTGAAAAGTCTAGGGAATGATAATACAAGAGGCGTCTCATCTCGTGGGTCATGAAAAAAGTATAGCGTCATTGTTTTTTATCAACAAATAGGTCAAAAATTCGTAATTTTTCGTTCTACGCGTTATTGTAAAAAAACTATTAATCTAATTCCATTTATTTATCCCATTTTTGCAAAAAAGGCCCATTTTCAAATGACTATTCCGGGGGCAGGGTTATGACTAAAACATTCTTTTTGGGCTCATTTTCTTCGAAGGGACACCAAGTATCCTCTAGTTAAAAAAAAATATATTTTTTTTCAAATTTAGTGTTACGTAATTGTTAACAAATAAAAGGCACTTTTTCCCCTAATAAACAAATAAAATAACTTCGCGGTTTTTAACTTTTGAAAGAAGTTATATACACCATTCGAAAGCTCGTAAAAAAACTTACAAATTGAAAAAAAAGTTTCTACGACCAATAGGTCCGAAGTTAGCAATTTTTTTACAACATTGTCTGAAGTAGTAACAACTGCTTTGATAATCACTTTTAAATTTTCTTTCCAAATATTTCTATATTTCTTGCTTGCAGCTTAATTAAAACTATTTCAGATCTGAAATTGGAGAACGAAAAATTATCCAACTGTACTTCAATGCAATAGTAACAAAACACAGTATTGATAATAATTTACCAGTCTTAATGAAATGTCTGGAGCAGCAAACGGAACTTCAATAATAGTCTCTTCGATAGAAATGACAAAGTTGAATTCATGTAGAAATTGAAGAGAACAAAACGTGGTTAATATAACAGTGCCAAGTGAAAAATTTGCCCAATGATTACAAGAAAATATAATTCCGTTCAACGTTCTTGATGAATACCCGAATCCGAATGTTGCCTTGTCGAATGGAACAAATTTACTTCTTTTACGCAGTCAAATGGACATGAAATAATTAGAAATGAAGATTATTACTTTACCAAAATTAGGGGTTAGTTAAAGTTAGGTTATTACAATCTTGCAACAAACCAGGTTGCAAAATACATAAAGATCGGCAAAATGCATCAAAATAGTATTAGAAATACGTCGAAATTTTCTAAATACTATGCTATGCTGTGCTTCTGTTTTCGAGAAAATTAATTAAGAAAATTGACCATAAATCTAAGACAACCCTGTGCATCTTGTACACGTGCGTTGTGTGTTGCAGTATTACTTAGCCGGCGTATAAAATGTGTTCTGATAAAGAACTAGCAGATATGGTGTTAATTTATGGAGAATGTCAGTACAATTATTTAAATGAGACTTGTTGTTTTCCGTATTTGCACGTAAGAGGACTAATTTTGATCGTTATTTGAAAACAACTTTTGTAGAGCATATCCTCTATCCGTTTATTCGTTTAATTTTTGTGTTACTTTTAAACGAGATTTGAATAAATTTCAGCATTTTCGAACACAAAATTGAAGCCGTTAAAACCGCCATCAGTACTTTCGCACTGCGGCGCGCGGCAGCTTCGATATCAAAGGTACAGCTGGCTGCCGCACCAGGGACGCCTTTAAATTTGTTTAAACCTTCATTTGATCATTTTTTTCAATTTAAAACGTAATGTTTTATAGACCATCAGTTGTTTAATAAATGTTAAATACACTCATTTCAGAAACACCCAGTATATGTCAAAATATTTAGGAATTTTCAAAATACTTTCAAATCCTCAAAAATTCAGTAAGTACCTGAAAATATAAGGAGAAAACACTTGATTTACATGGGTATACTTTGAAAATCTATAAAATCTTTGAATACTTGGAAATATCTACACGGAGGACTAAAAGAATATTTAAAATGCTTCGAAACACATCGAAAAGTTTGGAAATACGTTTAAAAAGTTATGGATAATTCGAAATTTTCCAAATTT